CTGTATATATTTATTTGCCATTTTTTTACTTCCGCTATCACATTTTAGCTTTTCGGACTCGCATGTGGATTTTCAGATTTTGATCCGATTTTCCAGTCAGATTTTGTACAGTATTACATGCTAGTTTGATTAATTATAATCCATTTTTCTTAACAGTTTTAACTCAGAAAAGATAACAAATTTTCAGAAAAGAAAGGTTCTTCAGTAGCATCTCGAATCACGACTTCGCAAACTAATACGTATTTTTAGAAAAGAATTTGTGAAAATTTGACTCTGGTTTTAATAAGCTAGTGGGGTGTTACACCTAATTTGTCAAACAACAAGTACTTAGTAGAGTTGTGAGGAAAATGCAGCAAATACTTGAGTTTTTCACCAAAGTCGAGAGCAAATAATACATAGCCGAGTGAAGCTATGTGTAACCCGAGTGCATTTTCAGTTGGTTCTTGAGTTATAGCCAAGCTTTTATTCAATCCTCACCTATATTATCATCCTACATCATCCTCCTCTCATCCTAGAAGAGGTTAGTGCCAGCAAACTCAAGGATACAAGCCAAAGGAAGCAAGGAGCCGCAGCTATTCTAGGACCGAGCAATAGCCGAGCACACCCTCTTTCTTTGCGGTTTTTAAGATACTTTAAGAGTTTGGTTTGATAATTCCTTTTCAAGACTTCTTATATATGAGATGAGGATGAGAATGATGTATTTTTATGCCCCATATGTTCAGTTTTTTAAGTGGTTTCAAGCATGCTTAATGTCTAAGTGCTCCCAGTTCACATGCATGTTCCTTAGAGTTTTCATGTATTTTTACCCATGCTATGAAAAATCTGGAAATGTTAGACTTATTTTACTATTTTCTTGTGTTAAAGTGGAGTTCATAGGATCAAGAACCAAGTCCATTGGCCTAGTATATCGAGTTATTAATTTTTAGAGTTAGACGGGCAAATTGAACTTTTTGTGCGCGAATTCATTTGCGACTTCAAACCCGAATAACTTGAGATATACTAAGGATATAATTATGAAATTTTTATGACATGTTTATATATGAGTTAAGAGCTTGCATACCATATTTCATGATTTTATCTTAAGAATGAGTGAGTTATATGTTTTAGACCGTATGCATGTCATGTTGAACTTTGTGGCCAGAGAACTCCCTAACTACATGTGCGTTTTATGTGAAAATTTTCTGAGCATTTATTGTATGAGTTGTGAGTAATTCCACCATGTTTCAGCTTCAAATGATAAGGGCAATTTTATAAAATTCTTTGAATATATATGTGTAAAGTGCATGTTTTATATGCTAAGTTTGAGATTTTAGTTGGATAAGCTATTGATGTTCAAAGGAGATGAAATTTGTACAGCATGTACTTGGTTAAATGAACTATTTTAGCTGCTAAGTTTTAGAATTTTTTATGATTTTTGAAAAATCATTAAGTTTAAAAGCTCGGTTTAAATCGAGTTAAGTGATTTAAGTACCACATTTGCACATAGATGAAGTTTACAAGTTTATAAGGTCTAGTGTGAGATAGTTGATCAGAATAAGTAACCGGAGTGGGCTGGTTCGAGCCAGATAAAGATAGATTGATAATTTCAATTTCCGAGCTTCTGTCAAATATTATTCGGACGCTCGATATAAGTCAAGTATAACAGAGATAACAAGTTCAGTTTAATTGTTTACTTGATCTTATTTGTATTATCTGTTTTGTTATGTATGTTCATAATTATTTATCTGTTTTATCTGCCTTGTCTGCCTGCCTGCCAATCCGTTACAGTATTATATGATCAGTTCAGAATAAGTTTTATCAGTCAAGCAAAATATTTGGATTATTTGCTTGTATATGTTTGGTAGCTTGAGGAGAGTCGAGCCTCCGACAGCTACCCCAGAATATTCAGCACTTGCACAGTCCTTTTCAGCATAACAGGTGGGGGCCCTGCACTGGGTATTACATCGCTTATAATCATATATACTGTATGAGGTATGTATGTAGATATTTACCCGAACGGTTGAGTTATCTCGTTCGTGGTCCAGTTATGATGACTCGGTCTTGGATGGAAGGTTTTACCATCCTGAGTCACTCACCCGATTTTGAATGGTAGTTATTTCCATCCTTGGTTTCTGAGGGAGGCGACCCTCAGAATGTGATCACATGATAATCCGGCCAGTTTCTGAATGTTGCACCAGTACAGTACGGTTTTATTTATGTATATGCTAAGTTCATGATATTTGATTGCATGTGTTGTATATTCAGTGTTAGTTCCTGTGGAGCATGGTGATTTAGTGTTCACGCCCCCACTATTTATCTTTTTAGGTGATGAAGTACAGCCTGGAGCGTGAGCCGAGCAACGGTTTGGTGGTGTCCGTCGACAGCTGGACATTTATTATGTTTATGTTTATGTTGGCATGTAATAAGATAATTTTGTACTGTACGGTACTTTATTTACGCTTATGTGCTGTCAACTCAGAACCAGTATGCATGCATGTTTAATTTCCCTTATCCATATTCCCCAGCTGGATTATATATGTCAATTGGGTTACATGCATAAGTAAAAGAAAGAGCAATAAATCAAGTCAGTAAGTAAGTAGCATCCCGCAAGTCAGTTAAGTTTAAATGTTTTTTCCAAACCAATACCAGTATATTTCGAAAACAACTGCAAAAATTTTACCCAGTTTTTCGTGAGTCCAGTTAGATAAGGCGGGGTGTTACAGTTTGGTATCAGAGCGCAGTTAGCATTTCTGTAGACCAAAAGTCTAGCATAGTGACCATACCACACTCACGCATGCGCTGACTCCGAGGTAAGTCACCTAAGCCAGTCTTTATTTTTGCAAGTGCTTTATCAGTTCAATATGAAAATTTCAGGGGCCTAGAAAACTATCCTCCTATGAGAATGAGAACTCTAGACAAAAACTCTAAAAAGAACTAAGTCCAAGAACTCTAGTCAAAGTCAGAACTCCTATTTGATTCAGAACATTAAACAAGTTAAATTGTATTTTTCTCTATGACTCGTCAAGAAATGTGCAAAGTGTCGAGTTATTAATATTTCATATCTTCTGCCAAACTCCTTCATGTGCTAACCCTGTCAACTGGCCATCTAGATGGCAAATAGTAGAAATTCTCGAGTCGAACCAGTCGCAGCCCCTCAAGTAGCTCCCGAGCCAGACCAGGGGCAGCGAGTCGCCAAGTTTCGCGGGTTTCACCCGACGACTTTGAATGGACAAGGAGATCCGAGACAAGTTGAGGAATGGCTACGTTACCTTGATCATATCTTTGAGGTCATGGGTTGCCCAGAGCGAATTAAGATCATGTGCGCCCAACTTCAGTTGACGGGGGATGCCGGACTTTGGTGGATAGCCTACTGGGCCATGAGGCCTGGAGAAAAGGATAATGTTACATGGGAGCGGTTGAAGGAGATAGTCCGGGAGAAGTACTACCCGGCTCACTACAGAGATATGATGTAGAGACTATTCTTGAATTTGGAGCAGGACGGCCGGACCGTGGATTAGTACGAGCGCGAGTTTACTCGCCTCGTCTTCTTCGTGCCACATCATATTGACACGGAGGAGACAAGGACAAGGCGCTTCCGGGGAGGTCTACATAGAGAGATCCGTCACACCCTGACTGATATGGGTGCCATGCCATATGCTGAGACAGTTTCTCGGGCCCAACAGATAGCCGAGAGCTTGATGGTGGAGGCTAGTCGAGTCTGTACCCCAGTCAGGCAGCCAGTCCAGTCACTGGCTCAACCACAGCCAGCGCCACCTCAGCAGGCGCAATCTCAGTAGGCAGAGAGACCCAAACAAGAGAAGGTAAAAAGGTCGTAATGATCAGAGGAATAGACAGAGGGTTTTAGGACCAGCACCAGCTCCAGCATCAGCTCAGGCTGTGCAGGCCGATAGAGACATGTGAAGGAGTTTACGCATAACTTCCTCCTCCAGGTTGCCTCTCGCACCTCTATCAGACGAGCTGTCCCCCATCGGAACGCAATTCACGCCAATCAGAAACCCTAGCCCCAACCCTCAAATACGAAAAATCCCCACAGAACCCAGAGAAAGGGAAAGATCAGCACCCCACACACTAATCCACAACAAAAACACAAACTCACAACCCCCTGCTCTCTCACTCAAGAGAATTCAGACACTCACCCGAGAGAATTTAGGCTCTCACCCGAGAGAATTCATTATTATTATTGACTTAAATCGTGTTCAAATACATAATTCATTGATTTAATTTAAAATAAATATAATTTATTTTGGGCCAAAATAAGTTTAATACGGGACAAGTCTAATATAACATGAGCTAAAATATTTTTTACTAGTATATATTTAAATGGACTGAAAAATTAAGACTGGGCTGGAGTCCACTCCAGCCTTTGGGGTGGCTCCGCCCCTGAATTAGCAACTTAAACGGTTCGATTATTCCAGCAATTAGGCCTTGTGTTATGGTGCCACACCATACATAGCTAATCACTTGCTTGCTTCATGAGCACACTACTTTGATGCTATCTTCATAGAGTTCCAACTGTTAACTTAAGCATTATAGTATGAAATTATGACTGTTGGACTGGAATTTACGTACATTAATGTTAGCATGGTCTCCTTTCCACATAATCCACGTCAGCATGAAGACCATGAAGACCAGTATAAAGACTACTCAGTCAATGGTCCACGTTAGCACCTCATGCAGCTCCCATGCATAGACTATAATGCCCCTGCAAGCATTTGAATTTTTGCTGCCTTTTGTTTGTTTCCTCTTTTAGTTGTACACCCTTTTCTCTTGGGTTTGTTGCTTTACTGTAATTAGTTATGCCTCACTTAGGTCACCAGCATGTTGGTATATATTCATGTAAACTCATTGTTAGCAGCTATGAAAATTTATCTTCATTTTTCCTCTCTTGGCTAAGAACCCTAAATTGTTAAAGCATTTACCTTCAATTTAGAAAGATGGTGCTGTTTGTTTCCAACATGGTATCAGAGCAGGGATAACTTGCTTTGAACCTTGTTTGAACAATGGCTTCATCATCACACACTTCCTCCTCGGGCCACGGCCAAAACCAGATCTCAGCCACCACTCCCATCCAACTCCATAACCAACTTATATCAACTAAGCTCACAGATGAAAACCACCTTATTTGGAGGCAGCAGGTACTCACAACAGTTAGAGGGCATGGCCTTGAGGGATTCTTAGATGGATCTAGCCTACCACCTACCAGATTCATACCTGGAGCAGAAGAGGGGCTCCTTCAAGTCAATCCTGAGTACACAAGCTTGGAAAGGCAGGATCAATTGCTGGCATCATGGCTGCTTTCTTCTCTTTCAGAGTCTATTTTGATTTCAGTGGTAGGTATGCACACCTCCTCTCAGATCTGGAAGAGTTTGGAGTCAAGTTTTTCAACTCAATCCAAGGCTAGGACGATGCACTACAGAATACAGCTTCAAAACCTAAAGAAGGGAAGCATGAGAATCAGAGAGTATGTCAACAAAGTGAAGATTTGTTGTGACACTTTGGCAGCTGGAGGGCATGTAGTCACAGAGCAGGACCAGATAATGCATGTCCTGAGTGGTTTAAGCTCAGAGTATGATGCAGTAGTTGTTAGCATAAATGCTAGGCCAGAACAACTCACAATGATAGATGTCATGTCTTTGCTGCTGACTTATGAGAGCAGGATTCAATCTGCAGCACTTGTCACAGAAAATAGCACACTACCAACAAGCCACCTCAAAGCTCATATCCCTCAAGAGGAAGAGGGAATTACCAAGGATTTAGAGCAAGAGGCGGATCTGGAAGAGGAAGGGGTGGCAGATTCAACAACAACAAAGTCCAATGCCAGATATGTGGTTACACCAACCATACTGCAGACAAGTGCTACAACCGCTTTAATGCTGATTTTGTGCCACAGAATTCTCAACAAAGGCACTATAATGATGGTAAGAGCTTTGGACAGTCCTCAGCCATGTTTTCATCAAAAGAAAATAGCAATGAGGGAGATTGGTTCCCTGATTCTGGGGCAACACACCATGTGACCAATGACTTTGCAAACCTCAATGTTGTATCTGATTATGGTGGTCCAAACAAACTGCAGATTGGAAATGGAGCTGGTCTGGATATTTCACATGTTGGTAAGGCAATGTTTGTTGGTTCTAAAGATTCCTCCTTACCTCAGCACACTTTTAAACTTAAGAACCTTTTACATGTTCCTCATATAGCTAAAAATCTCATTAGTGTTGCTCAATTTGCCAAAGATAATAATGTGTTCTTTGAATTCTTTCCCACTGCTTGTGTTGTGAAGGATCAAGTTTCAGGTCAACCTCTTCTCAAAGGGAAACTTAGGGATGGTCTATATGCTTTCAAGCTCAATAGGATACCAATCAAGAATGAAGAGAGAAGGAGATCAGAAGTTAGTGCTAAGAAAATGTTAGGTGGTGAAGTTTACTTATCTAGTTCTGTTAAGTCTTTAGAAGTTTGGCATAGAAGGTTGGGTCATCCATCATTTGATGTAACTCAAAGAGCTCTTAAGTCTTGTAATCTACCTTATGCCAGTAATAAAAACACTTTTTGTTCAGATTGCATTCAAGCAAAATCTCATAAACTGCTTTTCTATGCTTTTGTTCATTCTTCAACTTCACCTCTTGAACTTGTGCACACTGATCTTTGGGGGCCTGCACCCTTAACATCAACCTCAGGATCCTTATACTATGTGGCCTTTGTTGATGACTTCTCTAAATTTACTTGGCTATACTTTCTTAAACATAAGTCAGACACTCTCCAAGCTTTCACACACTTTGTTAACCTTGTTGAGAACCAGTTGAATTTTAGAGTCAAGGCAGTTCAAAGTGATGGTGGAACTAAGTTCAAACCTTTGTCTAAACTCTTCTCAGAAAAAGGGATTCTACATAGAGTATCTTGCCCTTATACCCCTCAACAGAATGGGCTGGTTGAAAGAAAGCACAGACAGGTAGTAGAGGTAGCTTTGAGTCTTTTCTCTCAGTCTAAAGTTCCTAAAAAATATTGGGAAGAGGTATTCTCCACAGCTATTTATTTGATAAATAGGATCCCAAACAAAACCATTGGTTTTGCTTCACCATATTCTAAACTTTATGGCCATGATCCCAGTTACAAACATTTAAGAGTTTTTGGCTGTGAATGTTATCCTCATCTCAGAAACTATGTTAAGGATAAATTAGAATTGAGAGCTCAATCTGGGACTTTTTTGGGTTATAGTTCTCAGTACAAAGGGTATAAAGTCTTATCATCCACTGGAAAGATCATTATTTCTAGGGTTGTAGTCTTTAATGAACACATTTTTCCCTTTAATAAGAAAAATCAAGTTGAGCAACCTGATGATGATCATAGCATGCATTCTTTCCCTTCTTTCCCATCTATGCATCCATCCAACACATCATCTATCAGCATTAATGAAACAGCAACACCAAATTCACCAACTACAGACTCATCCACACCAAATTCACCTACAAACTCACCACATTCATCTCAGACAACTCCTCAACATAGCCCAGCCTCATCACATTCTAATCACTCCCTTCAGAATAGCCTTGCTTCACCCTCACCCTCTCCTCACCCTATATCCTCATCAACACACTCACCCTCTCCCTCACCCCACCCACAAATTCCCTCTCCATCACACCATCTTATTACTAATCAACATCCAATGCAAACTAAGGCAAAGAGGGGAATTTTCAAACCAAAAACATTTCTTACTAACATTGTGACATCTGAGCCTCATTCAAGTTCAGAGGCATTATCCATCCCTTGCTGGAAAAATGCCATGACTTCTGAGTATAATGCTTTGATGAGGAACAAAACTTGGGAGTTGAGGCCCCTGCCACCAGGTAAAGTTCCAATTGGATGCAGGTGGGTATTTAAAACAAAATTCAATGCAGATGGTTCAGTTTCTAGGCACAAAGCTAGACTTGTAGCAAAAGGCTACACTCAAATTGCAGGAGTTGATTTCCATGATGTTTTTAGTCCTGTGATCAAACCAGTAACAATCAGATTAGTACTCACTATTGCACTTTCTAAGGGTTGGATTATTAATCAGCTGGATGTTGATAATGCTTTTTTGCATGGCCCTCTTGATCCATCCATTGATATTTATATGGAGCAACCACCTGGTTTTGAGGCTTCATCTGCTCCTGGTTATGCTTGCAAGCTCAACAAAGCCATTTATGGCCTCAAACAAGCCTCTAAGACTTGGTTTGACAGATTACATATTGTTCTTACTGGTTATTTTATATCTTCAAGGGCTGATGCATCATTATTTATCAGGCATTCTTCTTCTTCTCTTATTTACATCCTTGTGTATGTTGATGACATGATCATCACTGGTGATTCTCCCACTGAAATCAAGACAGTCATTACTTCTTTGTCTAAGGAATTTCCACTTAAAGATTTGGGGAAACTACACCATTTTCTTAGCATTGATGTCATCTACACTTCCCAAGGCATGCTTCTCTCACAGGAACATTATGCTCATCAGTTACTTACCAAGGCCAAGATGATTGACTCTAAAGAAATTTCCAGCCCTATGATATCTTCTCATACTCTCTCCAAATATGAGGAAAATCCTTTTTCTGATGGCACACTGTACAGGGCACTCATTGGCAGCCTTCAATATCTCACCATTACTAGGCCAGACATCACATTTGCTGTCAACAAACTAAGTCAATTCATGCAATCTCCTTTAGATTCACATTGGAATGCAATGAAGAGGCTACGGAGATATATTAATGGCACCATCTCCTTTGGGCTACAGTTTTTTAAATCCTCTCATCTCCATATTTCAGCCTTTTCTGACTCTGACTGGGCCTCTGACCCTGATGATAGGAAATCTACATCTGGTCAATGTGTTTTTGTTGGCCAAAACTTAGTTTCTTGGAGCTTCAAGAAACAGCACACAGTTTCTCGCAGTAGCACAGAGGCTGAGTACCGCAGTTTAGGTCATGCTGTTACAGAGGTGCTTTGGATTAAAAATTTGCTGCATGAACTCTGCATTACTTCCATCCCTTCACCAAATATCTGGGTTGATAACCTAGGTGCAGTCTTCATGTCATGTAACCCAGTTATTCAAGGCCGCACCAAACACATTGAAGTAGATTTGCACTTTATTCGAGAGAAGGTTTTTCAAAAATTAATTTCTGTCTTGCATGTGTCGGCCTTAGATCAAAAAGCTGACATTCTCACTAAACCGTTAAGTGGCCAATTCTTCCTTCGCATGAGGAACAAAGTAAATGTTGCATCTCCACGCTCACTCGAATTGAGGGGGGATGTTAGCATGGTCTCCTTTCCACATAATCCACGTCAGCATGAAGACCATGAAGACCAATATAAAGACTACTCAGTCAATGGTCCACGTCAGCACCTCATGCAGCTCCCATGCATAGACTATAATGCCCCTGCAAGCATTTGAATTTTTGTTGCCTTTTGTTTGTTTCCTCTTTTAGTTGTACACCCTTTTCTCTTGGGTTTGTTGCTTTACTGTAATTAGTTATGCCTCGGTTAGGTCACCAGCATGTTGGTATATATTCATGTAAACTCATTAGCAGCTATGAAAAGTTATCTTCATTTTTCCTCTCTTGGCTAAGAACCCTAAATTGTTAAAGCATTTACCTTCAATTTAGAAAGATGGTGCTGTTTGTTTCCAACAATTAATCTTATATAAAGTTCAGGAAATAGCTAGATGAACATGCTAAAAACATTCTCTTATAGAACCAAAACCACAAACAAATGATTTTCTAAAAAATGTGTGCATGGTTATATATCTAGCTTAGACGCCATAGCTAGACAACGTGCGAATGCCTTCACGAAAATTCCCAACAATCAAAAAAATAAAAATAAAAGAATTATTTATTAAATATGCATATTCCAATATGAGAATCTGAAGTGGAAATGTGAGTGAAGCTTGATGATGGCCCTGCCTCTTCCCCACCACCACCTTGCAGCAGAAGCAACCCCAAACCGGAATCCATATGGCCCAAGCACAACTGATCATGTTGTCCATCCCCGTGACTCAGCTGAGACGCCACGAATTTGTCGAGCTCCCTCCAATCCATCACTTTCTTTAATCTTTTACCATGATCACGACTTAATTCATCTTCTTGGTTATTATTATTATTATTATTGGAATGAGATGTTTTTACTGGCGGAGGGAGGGATGGACTCTCGAGCTGGGGAAGCTCCTGCACAAATTCATGATCTGATTGGAGGTTATGTAGATTTTGGTTAATGAATTCTTGTTTACTTTGGACGCCATTGCCCTTCTTCATCTGGTGTCGGCTCGTTAATCGCTTCATGAAGACCCGGCATACCACCCACCCCTCTTCCTGTATCCACAAAATTCAAACAATATATATTGATCACACTATCTGCTTTTTCATACAGTAACATGTGTGTGTAAATTGTATGATTGAATAGACGAGTGCACAAGGGTCAACGTGGGGAATAGTGATTGGATTGGAGAATAAAATGTCGGCAGTTTTTTTACTTGATGATGATGAGGTTGGATAAGTGGAAAGATCATGCAACAAAAGTTTTCCTGCTCAAAAAAAGCATTGACTTTCTTTTTGACTTACCTACATAATTAATGCATTAATTTTGCATGCCTTACAAGGTTAAGGAAATGCTACAGTCCAGTTACAGAACCATCCCGTCAGGAGTTTTAACCGTTAAATACACATGTTGTTAGTTTAAGATAAATGATCTAAGGTTTAAAACACCCGACGGGATAGTTCCGTAACGGGAACATAGCATTACTCGTAGTTTAAATGGGCCCCTACATACATAGGTATACAAAAAGAAAAACCATTATAATCTCTAGGTTCTTTGTATTGTTTAGTTCAGAACTAGGGTGCACATCAACCAGCAAGTTAATGATTCCCCACTATATTGCAAATTTAAAGCTGGAATAAGTAAAAAATAATAATAACACAAATTAATTAAGGCTTTGTGCTGTACGAAAAGAAAAAAAAAAAAAAA